GGGGCCACCCCCACTGCTTCTGCCCCATTCACTATCTGTGTGCAGAGGAGGCAGCAAGCGTGCTGGGGCTGGCATACTGGGTGAAAGAGAAGCACTCAGAAACCAGTCAACCTCTGGGGCAAGATGGTCTCCAGGGATACCAGGCCCCATGCATTCATCACCTCTTGTGCACACTCCCAGGGGGTGGGGCAGGGATAACCCTTCACGGCTCCAGGGTGGCCCCACTGATCTGGATGGCTGTTACCAAGTTGTAGATCAGTGTCCGGCCGGCCTGGCCCGCAGTCGAGGTGCTGCAGACCAGTCCTTCGCTGTCTCCACGAAGGCCCCAATGGCCAGATCTGTCCATGTCGCGGGTTGGAACTGGCCCGTGGGCCTTGAGTTTGACACCCTTGGTATAGGATGTCAGCAAATTTCAGAGATTCCAGGACCATTCAGTGAGTTTGGCAAACATAATTCACAAGCTTCAACTAGTTCAGAGTTTGGAATCATCCACTTGGTGTCTTTAAGGACAGGTACTATACACGTAATTATGATTCATTGATTTCTGGGCTCAAATGGGAAGTGCTGATCTTGACTTATCATGCTAAATTGTCCTGGTTCTTGTTATCTGAGGAATCATTTGCTTGTCCTAACTTATCCATTTCCTTTAGATGTCAAGGAGTTCATACATTATTTTAAGACATGAATAAGCTTTAATAAGCTTGGCTGACATTGTTTAAAATAAGTAATAAGATACAGTTGGCAGTGAAATTTCATTCTGGTGTGATATAGATATGGAATGTTGGTACTTGTTTATGTAATTCTTTATATCATTCACCATTTTATTGCCTGTTTTTTTCAATTATTATTGCTGGGAATCAATTATAGCTTAGTAATAGAAATGAAACAGTGTATTTCAGGCTGATTTTGGAAGGTATCTTTAGGTTTAAGAGCAAGAATGGGATTGATTTTCCCTTCATAATCTTCCCTTTCCTAGCCTTTTCATTTGGAAGAAAAAAATGAACAAAAGTGCCACTGAAATTCAGCAACTCAATCTCTGACTAATGGTGGATCAAATGCAATCATCTTAACGGTGGGTTGCCCATCCCTTTCATAAAGCATAAATTTCATTAATGAAATCCCTTTAATTTCAGACCACCATTCTTCTGAAATGGTATAGGGCCCCATACTTGAGCAGTGGGTTGGATTAGAAAACCTCCAAAATCCCTTCCCATTCTATTATTCTGAAATGAAAACACTTCAGCAGATATAACAAGCCCAGATTATCTGATAATTTATTTTTATGATTAAGAGTTGACTGGATGAAACACATATGTAAAATATGAATATTCAGCAAAGAGTTATTTTATGTTAGAACCGAGCGAATATGACTGGTAGAACAGATTTTACAACTGCAAAGATAAATAAATCAGATTAACAACTGTGGAAATGAGGTATAGTTTTTCCTTGCTTTATACAATTTTGGTATTATGTGCTTTATCATTTTCATCCAAAAATTTGTTTTATGCAAAACTAAATATCACTGTTACATAATTTATGCCAGCATAGTCAATTAGTCCCCCAAATGTAAAAATATATCAGGACTTATTCCCATCCAAAAACTACTTCATTTTTCATCTTTCTCCCCTGTTCACACATTTACTGTTGTGTTGTGTGTCCCTTTTATTGTGTGTTGTTTTCTACTTATTTCCATAACTGCAGTAACTACTATTGTTACTATGGAACCAAAACCACCATCAACTTATCTAAATCATTTTCTAAAACATCAGTGCCTCGCTTTATGTGAGGTTTGGAGAGAACATAATCTTAGCAGAAAGTGAAGGAAATCTGTTATATGCTTATATCCAATGATCATTTAAGGGGTACTAAAGAAAGCTTACTAGAAAAGTCTGAAAAATGGGATTTAAAAAACCAGAAAGGCCAAAACTACTGTTAAATCTATTAGCAAAAGATGCAAATGCAAACAAATGAGAACAGAGCAAAGGTTATTTGGAAACTTCATAGAAGCTGTATGAAAGAACAAGAACAAGCAAGGGCTATTTTTCCTGAAAAAAATATAGTAGATGAAGCTTTAGAATAGGAACAAATAAATGCTAAAGGTGCTGCATATTACTGATGAAAGAAAAAAAAAAGCAGTAATGTATAAGGTTGACTTCTCAACGGCTATCCTGAAATACGCTGTACTTTTATGAATGTGTTAGAAACAAATTCCCCAAGCAGACCTTCTGTAACAATAGTGTTTCTTAAGGAAAGGGAAATGGATTCCTACACGGAAAGGAAGCTGATAGGAAATTACAATCAGAATAAAAAAGAAAGAAAATGTGTTTTAATTCTAAGAAAGCCAGATATTGGAAGAAGCAAATTCAATATTGAAAGCAAAGTGACATAAAGGGATTTACGCAGAACTAGAGAAGTAATTGCTATAAAGGTACAGTGACATAGATGTGGTGTACTGTAGTGTTTTTAGTACACAGCAATATTTGATTAATTGATCTTGATTCTACAAAATTATATACTGAGGGAAAGATTTACTTTATTGATAGCAGTAAATCAGAAAATGCTAGAAATTTTTGAAATGTAGTACCTAGAGAAATGCCATTATTATCCTGTAATTGTGAAAGTTGTCCTAGGTTTCAGACTTGAGAAATAATAAGTTTAGAATAATAAGTTTAATAATGAAAGGGTTCACCATTCAATTTAAAACTAGTGAATGTATAATTCCAAAGTATTTAGAAGTTTTGAAGTGCTTGCATTAAAAATAATGTGGGAGGGGGGCAATGAATCACAAAAAGAAAAAAAGATGCATCAAATTAACATTCAGTCAAAAGCCCTTTTGAAATGGGAAAAGCAGAGATAGATGTGCAGCTTCAATGCTTCCCACAGTACAACTAGGACAAAAGATTTGAAAAAGACATTTGGAAGAACAAAACAAAAAGAATACAGAAAAGCAAACTGTATGCAACTTTTCTACAGTCTGGATACAGTTTTATAATACAGAAAGTAAAGAAGGCAACAAGCAGAAAAGGCAATTTAAACCCATTCTAATGGAGGTTTATGAATGAGAACAGCAGCCCTCCCTGCTCTGGGAATGGAATATCCCAAGATGATTGCACTGGTGGCGCAGCGGTTAGAATGCAGTACTGCAGCTAATTCTGCTGACCGCAGGCTGCCAGCATTTTGACAGTTCGATTCTCAGCAGCTGAAGGTTGACTCAACCTTCTATCCTTCTGAGGTCAGTAAAATGAGAACTCAAGATTGTTGGGGGCAATATGCTGACTCTGTAAACCGCAGTATATAAGTCTCAGTGCTATTGCTATTTATATTTAGCCTGTGTGTGATGCTAAGTCACCCTAACAACTTCCTAGCTTATACAATCCTTTGTCAACAGGATCCTGAGCGACCCTCTTTGAAAAATAGAAGAAAGAGAACAAATGCATCTTGGATGAAGAATATTCAACAGGATAATGATCCTGCCAACTGAAAGGATTTGAACACCCTACAAGACAAAAAGGGGGAACAGCTGGGCTTCTACACTCTGGAACTGGAACTGATATAAATGGAGAAAGACTATCAAGCCATGTTAGTAATAGACTTCAGTCAAGGCAACACTACAAAGGTTGCTAATTTGCTGAAGGGGATGAGTAGGATGATAACTATGCAGAGATTTGTGATATCCTGTGCAAATATTAACTACATAAAAACATAGGAGAATCTCTTCATTATTATGTAATTCAAGTGAGTTTAGATGATTAACTCCTATTGGTTGAGATTTGATGGACTTCAGGAATAAACAAACTAAATTAGGTACACTACATAGAAATGGAAAACAAAAGCCACATCCTGGAATATTCCTCTTTCCTTTTCACCCTTCTGCCACTTACCTGTTTTCTGTCAGCTGCTACTATAAGTTATCTGGAAAAGAATATGCATAAATTTAAGATTTCCTTTTTAATGTGCCATTATACAAAGTGTACTATACAAAAATGTTTCACTCTGCTATGTAAACATTCAGTTCAATGCTTTAGCATAAAGCTTAAGGATAAATCATAAAAGAAGCAAAACTATACTACATGCTAACTCATAAAAGAATGGTTTATGTATCACGGCAGATGGTTTCATGCTAATCTAACTTATAGTTTAGTATGTAAGATGCCCATTACTTAAATTACATGAGATAAAAGGCAAATCTCTTGCTAATTTAGTAATGTTGTATCTAAATTGTACACATCCATGCAAAAAACTACCCCAAAGTATAACTTTCAGCAATATACAATATATTGTGTCTGAAAGAAGCTTAAAGTAAAACTTTTCCCCTAGCTTCTGTGTTATTCTTACTTATTTGATTCTTACTTGGGGTCAGAAATGAATGAGCAAAACTCAGCTTCATCTCCTTAGTAGTAAATCCATCATAGGCAATGTATATTGTTACCATTTGCAAAAGAATATAGGTGTGCTTAACACATTTATAATTTTTGGTTCATTCTGGAAATGTTCAGCTTCCATCCCTCTCATTTGGAACTTGATGCACCTGCTCAAAGCTCAACACAAAGATGTTTTGAAGAATGTTTTCCAGAATGTCTAGCTTCCATCCCTCCATATGCTGTCACAATCACAGGACTCTTGGTAGCTAACAAGAACACACAACAGCATATAAAATATAAGAATAAATCAATGAAAGCAAAACATCTGCTTCGAGGTTCAAATGCTTTGCATGCTGACCTAAAATCTCTTTAGAAAAACTATGCAGAATTCCTCTTTGTCAAACCATCAGTAATACAACTGCAATAGAGACAGGATTAGATAACATTTTTAAAACTCTAAAGGAAATATTCTGAGGTTTTCAGAATGCCAAATTTACTAAAGAATCAAAGATCTGCCATAAGAATTTTAGTCCCGACTGCATATATTGTATCAATTGTTAGATATGATAAGATTCTATCAATAAAAATAGTTGCTTTTCACTTTTAATCTCTAAATCAGGATTCAAGTGCCAGCAAGCATAAGAAAGGTTATTTATTAGAGTGGTACACCGCACAATACTCCTGTCTGTCCTGTTGATTTCAGGACTACAGGATTAAGCCTTAAATAAATAACATGTATATTGTATCTAAAATAAATATATAACTTAAAATGAAGCATCTTGTTAAATATTTTTCAGATTAAATAAAGTTCAAAAACTAGATCTCTTCAGGAGAGTTTTTCACAGTTTTTCAGAGCAGTATTCAGTAACAGTTTTGTAAAGAATCCAGTTGCCTGGTTCATTGTTTGCTTGGTTCATGCCAAAGTCATTTTCCACTTGTAAGAAGACAAATTTCAAATCTTCTTGGGTGTAGCTCCACATTGTGAACAAGTCCTCTGCGAATAAATGTGGTTCTCTCACAGAGAATTCTTTCAATTTGGAGATATGATTTGCTTCTTTAACAAAGCATTATCTCCTTGAAAACAAAGTTGTTCTCATTTGTATAAGTTCCTCTTTAAGCAGGTCCTAGAAAGGGTATTATCCATTCAATTGTGAATGTAGAACTTGTTTCACTGCTTAAACCTGGATTTGTAATAAAAAGATACCTCAGGTTAAAATAAATCAGTTACACAACATTTGATTTATAGTACTAATTTTTAATGACTCTACACTATAATGTGTACAGCTATCTCCAAACAGAATTAGAATGAACCAGAGGTATTTCAAGGTTAATGCAGACTAATTGGCTGGAGGCTTATATTGGTGCATTCTCATGGAGTTCAGCAGAATTAACAACATTCAACCTGCTAACTTCTTACAACAGATCCGGTTATACTCTCTTAAAGGATTTAATCTGATTAGGGGAATCCCATCAGAGGATTATGTTTATCTTCAAAATCCAAGATCATCTTAAAGGAAATGGCCTCCAAGAAAAAACAGAATATTTACTTTTGATACTCGAAAATGTGGCCTACAGCAGCTGAAGGAATGCAATGGAAATGGGAAAAAGCAGCTGCCATAGAATGGCAAAGAGGAGTAAATAATGAATATGAAAAAAAAATGCCCCAGCTGCAGAAATTTTCAGGAAAAAATGGTAATGTACCTGGATTTATGGAGATTCTCAGTCATCCAGGTCATGGTTGTCTCAAGGGTAATTTTCTCCAAAAGGCAATTCGACTTTCTGGTTTTTATTTTTGTTTTTTGAAGACTCATCCAGGAAACTTCTTGAGCTCTGACTGGATGGTGGGAAATGGAAGAATTTATACTTCTTGCAGACAGCTGGACAGGTGACCTTAACCCACTAAAAGAATGCAAATGTCCTGCTGTCTGCAAGGAGTATAAATCCTTCCATTCCCCACCATCCAGTCAGAGCTCAAGAAGCTTGGATGAGAAGCAAAATGTCTTCAAAGGAAAATCAAGAGAGTCCAGTTGCCTCTTGGGAAAAAGCACCTTTGGGACAAGTGCCTGGGTTGCAATAGCAAAGTCTGCCCTGTGAGGCAGACAAACTCAGAAATCAAGACTACTTAGATTTCTGGAAAGATCTATATCGTTGGTAGAGTAAAGCACAGAAACTAGAAAGCCTGCTAAAGCAGCTCTCCAGATAATCTTGGACATGGCATAATTAAGGCTGATTTACTCTTACGCTTTTCCCTCCCTTGAATGAGGTGTCTCTTTTGTAACAGTTCTGTATCCTCTCCCATGCCTCACAACTAGTTCATCACAACTAGATAGATTCCAGTGATGTAACAGCAGAAACAATCAGTAACATTTACTCTGGATGCTCAAAATTGTTTCTTAAAAAGTCTTATGATTAACCCAGTATGAAAAGCATTCTTTTTTATGTTGAACTGCCACATGAGAAAAAAGAACCAACCCATGAAATGGTCCAGGGGTGTCAAGCTCAAGGCTCGGGGGTGGATCCAGCCCGCGTGGCCAGCCTGGAAACAGCAAAGGACTGGCCCGCAGTGCCTCTGCCAGCAAAAATGGAGCATACCCTCCCATGCCCAATTTTTGCCGGCAGAGGGCTGCAAGAAAATGGAGTTCAGGAGCCCATTTTCTCTGGGAGGTAGCTCAGGCCGTCACAGGCACCCCCGACATGAGTGACATTGAGCTGGTCACACGCAACCTGGCTATGCCCACCCCAGCCCCCTGAGGTCAAACACAACCCTGATGCAGCCCTCAATGAAATCAAGTTTGACACCCTGAAATAGTCTCTCCTTATATCAACAAACAGAAGGCCATGTTTACCCAGATATTATATTCTGAAAGAGTTACCTTGTAGTTCTTGGACAGTTCATTGATTGACAGTGATACCCAACTTAACCTTCTCTTCATTCTCTACATCATATACTCCTTGTTTGTGACATCTAGAAAATTGGAAAAAGAGGAGCCAAGATTAAAACCAATTCTAAACTTACACAGATATTCAAAGAGGACCTATGGTTGTTCCATCACTAATCTTGAAAATGTAATATGGGAAATCCCATCCTGCATTTTTGGGATAGAACCATCACAAAATATTGAATTCTTTGCACTAAAACTAGACTTTAAGTCCTTTACCAGATGGTTCATGTGAGGTGTCCTGATTGCCACTCAATATTTAAAAAAGTAATGTAATTTCTAAAGTCATATGTCAAAGCAGAAGAAAAAAAACAGGATTCAAATTCTCTGCATGTTTTATCAACTATTTGTTATAAAGATATAATCTGCCTTTCTCAGAAGTTGTATTAAAATCAAATTAAGGCAAAATATAATAATAAAAAAACCAGTTAAACTCTACTATACTCTGTAGAAAGGCTTAGGCAAATAGAGTATATCAGTTTAAGTTTCCATTCAGAAAAGATCCCTAAGGCTGATGGGAAGCTGAAGCAGGCAGGAGCTACAAACCTCTGTGCATATTTAATATAACTTACTGGACCTGTCAATCTGTTCTGAAGCTCAGATCTCGTAAGATAAAGTTAAAGGGTTCCACTGCCAGTTATGCCCAACTCTAAGGGCTAGTGCTCATTTCCAATTTACAGCCAAAGAGCCAGCATTGTGCAAAGACACTTCCATCATCATGTGGCCAGCATGATTATATGCCAAAGGAGCACAAGAATGCTGTTACCTTCCCATCAAAGTGGTATCTATTTATCTACTTGCATTTACTTTTACTGCTAGTTGGCAGGAGCTGGGGCAAGTAATGGAAGCCCACTCCGTCATGTGATACTTGGTCTCAAACTGGCAACCTTCTGGTCACAAGCTCAGTGTCTTAACCGCTTAGCCAATATACTCCTTCAGATTCCATAGAAATCCTAAAATTAATTTGCTTTTGAGACATTCAGAAAATGGTCACAAAGCACATGCTGGATTTCTATTATCAAAGGGCTATAGGCTAGGATAAGAGGCTATAGATAAAATATAAACCTCTCAGAGAGCCTTAGGAAAACAGAGATTATACAAATAAATGCATACATTCTTCCTTCATGAGACCAGACTTCCAAATCATCATAAGATGAAGGCAATTCTATGTCTCCACACATCTCAATCCTATTAAACTACTTGCCTCAGCATCAATAATACTGCAATGATGATAAGACACAGGGATGACAGAATCACTGCTGTAACTGCCAGGATAGTTGTACGATCATAACCATAAAAGCGGTTTTCCACTGGAAGGCTAAGAGCATGGCACCTCTCCCCGTGGTAGTCTTCTTGGCATCTAGGAATTAAGAATTTTAAAAATCAATACATGAAGCTTATTCCATAGGGCTGTAATAACATTTATAAGTGATACACTTGGCTACTTCCATCTACTGTAAGTTTAATGGTGGGGGGAAAACTTTGTTCCCAATGTACAATTCATCAAGTCGCTTCTCTACTTTTTTCTTGTTGAGATTTTCATTTCTGACTGTAAAGCACACCCTATACAGATTATTTTATATACTGACATCCTAAACATTCATTCAAGAGTGAAAAAATATTTACAGTCACCCACCCACTCACAAATTAATTCTACAAAGGTTTTTTTCAGAAGATTTCTGAAAATCTATTTAGGTTTTAACCAGGCCAAGCTGCAGAGGATACTCTTATAATTTGTTATAATTGTTATTTAGAATTGTTATTGTTTTCTTTATTTTATGTGTGGCATCTATTATTCTGTAGAACTGTTATTGTACAAGGAATTTATAAAATTACAGTACACATGCCAACTTGCAACCCCAACAGGGAGACAGGAAGTATCTTTATAAGGCAGAGGTAGACAAAGTGATGCCCACGAACATTAATGTGCCCCTGACACCCCGTCGCCTCCCAATCTTTTTCAAATATTATTTTAATATGAAGAATACCACGTAGACATGTAACTTATTTTATTTATTGATTAGCTCTTGGGCCACTTGCCTCTCATATCTTGTTAATTGGGAGATGCCCCAAGAAGCTAATTTACCTTCCCGCCAATGCCTTTTTTCTGTGTGGTTAGCCACGCGTGGTTTTCTCAGAAATCTGTTTCTTGTGGAATTGGCCACCTCATGAGTTCAACTGTACCTGTTGCATATCCCCCTGCTGTAAGGCCTAAACATTTATTCTTCAATGATCAAAGAATAGACTTAGCAAGATTATTCATAGGTTCCCAGTTCTGACTTGCTGATTCATACTTTCTCACTGATTATTTCTCACTTTATTGCTTCCCATAGTAAGAAAAGTTAAAATATTTCTTTCAGGCAGAAATATTCTTCCTAAAAAGAATGTATTTGCATGACATGCTAAACCATACTAAGAGTAGGCTTAGTTTCAAAGTCACAAATAATACGTCTGTAAATACTTGTAACATTTTAAATTCTATGTGCATGCATACATAAGCAGACACACACATCAAACTCACATTTGCAACTGGAAAGTAAGTTTCCATTTACATACTGTAATATAATAGCAATATTAGGATGATTCATAATGCTGCTTGGTGAATTTTATAGCAATGTTTGTCCTAATGAAAGGTGTACATTTATATAGAGAACTGTTGCATAAGTTTTTTTCTGTTTTAATTTCATTGTGTATATTCTTACCACCCCTTCAAAGAGAGCAAGGTCAAGAAACTGGAACTATTAAGAGTCTTGGATAATGGTTAGGATATTGTAATATAATCCTGAAAGCTGTCAAAGCTTTCTCTACTTCAACATATACCTGACACAGTCAAGGTGAGGATAGTTTTAACATGTTTTCTCATGCTTTCTATTGTTCCAGGACCTGGATATGAGATATGATAATATCAAAAGTGGTTTTTATTTTGAAAAGTAACTGGACTTATTTTTGAGGAAAAACAAGACATTTTGCTTCCTATCCTGGAAGCTTCATCAACTGTATTGGATGGTGTTGGAGATGGAAGGACAATTAGTGACAATTGAGATTAGTTGGAGGAAATGTTAGGTTCTGACAGAAAGTGAGGAGGGAATGGAAAGATTGTATTTTCTTTGCAGTCAACTGGTCTTAACACTCTCTGAGAGCCATTGTGGTTACTTGGGGTTTTACCTGTGATCTCAGGGTCACCTGAGTCAGAGGTGTGGAATCTTCTTGGAACAGCCAGTAGGACTGCATTGTAGACCTGGGATAAATTGAGGGTGTCTTATCCTTCCTCTTCTGTTGAGAGAGGGCCGCTCAAGGTCAACATAAATGGTCCCTTTTACCCCTCCTTCAAACCAAAGTTCCTCTCTATACAAAATGTGGACTTTGCTGTCTTCAAAAGAGCGACCTATGTCTTTCAAATGCAGATAGACCACTGACTCTTGTCCTGATGGGATAGATTTCTTATGTTGTGTCATGCACTTGTGAAGTGATTGCTTTGTTTCACCAGTGTACAGATCTGCACATGCCTCACTGCATTGTATTGCATATAACACATTGCTCACTTTGTGTCTAGATGTTTTATCCTTCGGGTGGATAAGTTTCTGCCTTAATGTATTCTTGGGCATAAAATTTGCAGGTATGTGATGTTGATTGAAATGCTTCCTGAGCTTTTCAGATATTCCAGCAACATATGGAATGACAATGTTGCTTCCTTTGTTACTCTCTTCCTTGTGTGGAGTAGAGGAGCTCATGCTGGTTCTTTTTTTGGATTTGATGAAGGCCAGTTGGGATATCCACAAGTTCTGAGGGATTCCTTGATGAGTTTTTCAAAGTAAAAACCACTTTTGATACAACTATGACCTGGATAACTGAGAAGCTTCATAGATACAGCTCTGATGAGAGTTAAATAATGCTTTATTTCGCCTTTTGGTTCTAGGTATAGAGGTGCAGTGGCAAAACAGACACAATTGTTCCCATTACATTTTAACAGCTCCTGCTATTCTTAATCTTTTTTTAATGAGAGTTTCAGTATACAAGTCTCCTCTCTTATTATCAGTATGAACTTCTAATTCATTTCACTGGAAAATAAATCTGCAATACAGCCATGGTTTTCTCTGTATGCAATTAATTACAGGATATAAATAGTATAAGTAACTTACATACAAGATGGAGATTTAAGTTCCTTAATATATTTGCATTTTCCATGAATACAATAATCCTTGTATTTCCCCAAGCAGGGATCTCTTTTCTTTCGCTTTCCTTTTCTCCTTTTCTTCCCTCCGTTATTTGGAGTCACAGATTCTTGCGGCTTGGACATGAAAGCAACTGGAAAAAGAAGGAAAACACTAATTTTATGTATTAGAATATTGAAGCATATCCCAGGCATTGTAGCTCAAATTGGCTTAGGAATATTAGCACTAGCATTTTTTTTCTAGAAAATTATGATGGACCTCTCTCCTTAAAATGGGGTTTAATAAATTTATCTCTCCCCTAAAAATGGGGTTTCATCTAAATATTCATGGTAAGATGAACAAGCTATAACCTTGTGTTCTCCCCAAACACATTTTGCAAAATGACCAAGGTCTATGTTGTCCTTTGGATACAGCCTATATTGCCTGAATGACGTTGAAGAATTCAAGTAGGATCCCATTTGAGACTCACATAAGCACACTGAGTCCTATTATCTCTAATCAGAGTGTAACCTCAAGAGCTTTCTGGCATTATTGCAATTTTCAGTTATACATTTAAGATTCATACACATATTCAGAGCGTTCAGAAAAGGCATACGGAATTACATATGCCAAAGTTTGCTTTGTTCATGCCGATCACCAGAATGCAGAGAAGCAAGAGATTGTTCTGCTACTTTGCCTTTAACTTTTCTGGTTTTTTTCCTAATGCTGTTCACCGTCCTCCTAAAGTAGGTCTGACCCAGTTAACCAATGGCTGATTTATGGCATGCTAAATTTACAGTGGTGTCATACATAAATTTAAGTTGCTTTCCCCATAGAATATGTTATTAAAAAAGGACAACATGCATCAAGAAAACGGCAGGACAAAATCCAAAGGAAAAAAAAAAAGATTCAGAACTCTATTTATATTGTTCCTTCTGCAAAACAAAAGAGAATGTACCATTGTGTAAAATTATAATTAAAATTTGTTGATTTTCATTGTGTAGTGGTTGTGCTTTGGTAATTCCATGAAACCAAGCTTGAGGCAGAATAGGCACAACACATTCAGCAACATAACTGGCAAAGCAGTGGTGGGATTAAATTTTTTTTTTTTACTACCGGTTCTGTGGGTGACTTGGTAGGCGTGGCAGGGGAAGGATACTGTAAAATCTCCAGTCAGAGCTATTATATTTGCCGGTTCTCCAAACTACTCAAAATTTCCACTACCAGTTCTTCAGAACTGGTCAGAACCTGCTGAATACCACCTCTGTGGCAAAGTAAATAGCTAAGTTGTTTACTACAACAAAAAGAAATCATTCTTATTGAGCAAACTTGCAATTGCTCATAACTCCCACTGGGTAATAATGTTAGGAGGCATGATTACCTAATCTCAAAAACACTAAGCAGAGTCAGACCTGGTTTGCATTTGGATGAAAGACAACCGGGAAGCCCTAGGATAGTAGATCAGAGGAGGGAGTTGAAAAAACAAGGAAGAAAGCAACAGCAAAGCATTTCCATGGGGTTATCAAGAGTAGATGAGCTTCACTTGAGGAAGTTTTTACAGTATAGATCATGGGTATCAAACTTGACTGTGTCACATGACATATGACGTATTGTGATGTTTTTTGCCTTTGCAGGGTGGGCATGGCCTGGATAAATCAGTGCTTATCATACTGGACACCAGCTACAGATCCTCACCAGTGGTGGGATTCAAATTTTTTTACTACCAGTTCTGTGGGCGTGGCTTGGTGGGCATGGCAGGGGAAGGATACTGTAAAATCTCCATTCCCTCCCCACTGCTGGGGGAAGGTTACTGCAAAATCCCATTCCCTCCCCACCCCACTAACCTGCTTTCCAGCTCCGTTCTCCTGTGCAGGGCAACAAAAGAAGACCCAGCCAATCAGCTGGGACATGGGAGGCAGAGAAGAGATGAGGCGGGGCCAGTCAGAGGTGGCATTTGCCGGTTCTCTGAACTACTCAAAATTTCCGCTACCGGTTCTCCAGAACTGGTCAGAACCTGCTCAATACCACCACTGATCCTCACCTAGTTCAACTAGGAGAGGGTATTGAACTATTCTATTATCCACTATATATCTATTAGATCTCCAGAAATGTCAATGAAATATATAGCACATTCCTCAAAAATCAGAAGGAAGGCAGGAGCACTTTGAGTTATTTAATCTGTATACACACACACACACACACACACACACACCAGCAATTAAGGACTCTCAATGACTAAAACAAACAAGTCATCTGAGTAGACATTCTTAGCTATATGGAAAGTCTGGATCCAAAGATATGCTGAATAGTCAACCTAGTTAAGAAGAGCAGCTCAGTGTTCTTCCCACACATTTGCTATGACTATTTCATGGGCATCAATATTTGGCAGAAAGCATGCTAGGGTCTCAAGACATAAATAGGCAAAGAGGATGAAATGGAAACCCAAGCTCGACGCCCCCAGATGGTACAACTTCGCCCTAATGACTAAACTCAGTAAGGTAAGAAGAGGCATAGTGTGTGGGACAGGAACTGTGAGTCATTTGTGGATCCTCTCATCAATTGACAGCATTTACTGACTGGAAAATTAATACTTCTGTCTGGACAGACCCACATATAAAATAATTAACATGTGGGGATAAGCAATAGATTCTATATGGCCAGGACCATTATTCACCAGCTAATCCTTTCTCAAATCTCCCAGTTTAATTCTATACAACAGCGAAAATGCCAACTAGGCTTACTTATTTTGTTATATTTAAGAATATTGTTGCCATGGATATCAATGCTAGAAAATGTTTCCCAAAGATGAAGGAAGTTTTGTCAATAGGATGAGGAGGGGGAAAAGGGAGGGAAATAATGATCTCAAGTTTGCAGATCCTTAGAGGAAAATTAGTGAAAGAGAAAAAATAAGCACCAAAGCATATTACAGCTCTATAAAAGTGAGAGCACCAACTAGCAGTAGATTATATAGCTGTTTGGTATTGCTCTGCTACTCAAAAAGTAGAACAACATACATGCTATAAGTGGCAGGATTTGTGGCAAACCAATGGCAATATTTCACTAGAGCATGTGAGTGGGAGAAGTAGCAGTTCTAATAACAGATAAGAATTATAATGTGTGACTGACTGAAACAAGGATCTCTAGGGTAACAGTTTGGAACATATAAATGAGAAATGATTACATTATCAATCTGTTCTGACATCAAGCAAATATGACAAGAATTTCCACAGAACATTTCATTGTAATTCCCTTGCTTGTTCTTAGGAATCATTCCTAAACATTTAAAGCAGTACAACAAATATGTGGCATGGCTATCATTGAAATACAGATGCTTTAATTTCTATTATCCTATTATTCTATCATAAAAGTACAACATATGGACTTGCTTTATAGTTCATCCCGAAATAGATTTACTTATGTTTACAATTTAAACATTCCCTAGAATTTCCTTGGCTTTTTTCCAGTTCTTTAAACAGAGATAGGATCAAAGACATCACACACACAAAAATAACACAGTAACATCTTTCACTTATTTATTGAATTTCAGGTTGCCTCTGCTGAGATCCTGTCTGCCCTTCCTTTTTCAACTATTTAAAACTGAATGAAGTTATTAGGAGCCAATGTTGTCCTTTATAGTAAAATCGTATTCCATAAATTGGAATAATATCCCAAGTCTTTGAAGATATTCATCAACCAGCATCAGCAATCCCAATTTCTGTCATTCAAAAACCACAAGAGTTCAAAAGTTGTTCAAAAGTTACTAACCTGATATAGGTTAGTAAAATCAGTAACCACCAGCCTATATAAGTAAAATCATTGATCTCTAGAAATAATAGATATGCTCCTTCTCCAGAGAGCATTCAAGGTAACAGTCTCTACCAATGATTGCTCTCAGTGAGGATCCATGCACTCATATGTATGCTGCTTGCAGCTACAACCATTTGTACAGTAATAGGGAAATAATAGCATTCTGAGCCATACCTTGAGGGAGATCACTAAAGGTATCTCCTTTGGATAACGAAACGTCTCTCTGTCCTATATGTTCCAAAGCTTTTGAGGATGGGTGGAGATGGAGATTTGTCAAGTTGTCTCTGTTTTCTCTCCTGGGAGTTTCATTCTGGAGTAAGTCAGTCCCCTCTCCATTCACCAGGATGGCACAAGCTACAAATAGAATTAAGGACATTTCAGTAATCTCTCAAAAAAGAAAGAAAATCTAGACATTCTAATATTACCAAATGTTGGAGCCGAAATCCAAAATGATTTAAACAAACCTGAAATTTGTCATGTAATTCTCTCACAGACTAGCACAAATCAACTTACATTGCAGGAGGAGCAAAGCTATTTATAGAACCACAGTGCAACACAAAAACAAAGGCATGAACAAAACAAGATATAAATGAAGGCCAGATTCACTTACATGTGAATGGCAAACAAATGCACTAAATATAGTAGGTGTTCTCATATTTTCAAACTACATGCCCAGCATACACATACACAAACATACTCTGCTCCTACTCCAATTTTGTAGCACAAGTGCAGCATAGGCTGGGATGCTTCCATTCTTCTGAGTGACAGTTTGCCTAGTAGACTCAGGGACATAGATAGCAACTAGTGGAAAAACATTCTGATCTGAAAATACTTCCAAGCACTTTTTAAAAATTAGGATAAATTTAACCAACAGAGAATCGACATTGTTATAAACTTCATATAATTTAAAATTGACATTTACTGTCTCTCAAATGTTCCAGGGAATTCAGTAGGGGTAAGGGGACTCAAACGCATCCCTTTACTATATAAATAAAATACACCCATCCCAGCGATTCAATGCTATCATGTAGCCCTATTAGTTATCAAAACAAGCTAAATTTGGCAGTAGTGGAAAAAGAAGCCCTGACCCGGCAGGCAGCTTCTCATAAAACCGCCAAGCAACTGTGTCAATGGACTACCAATCATGTTTTATTTTATTTTCGGTACCATTACCAGGCAGAAATAAGTCTCGTATTGGCTTAAGCGAGAGCATGTACTGCGACCAACGCAGCGTCGTAACTTAGAGCCCCCAAGCTATTTCGTCCACGCAGCGACCCCCTCACCCTCCTTGCAGGACAAGGTGCGTTCTCCAACATTCACGATCAGGACTTGTGTTTGCGTCCATTCGGGCGCAAAGTCCTCCCGTCTCCCCCGCTTACCTGCCGCAAGAAGAATGCTCGAAATCATCACCGCTCCTGGCAAGGCTTGCCACCGCCGCTCGCTTCGCTCCTACCGGGCCCGACCGAGGGGCTTCAAAGGCAGGCTTTTTCCTGGACTCGCTTCTTAAGGCGGAGCGCGCCAAGTGGCCGGGCCGGGCCGGGCTCGTCTAGATGTCGCGGCGACTGTTCCCGGGATCAGGACAAAGCAGACGCCCGTGCAGCGCGTACCGCCTACTGCCTGCCTGATTCGTACAGTCCCCCTGCGCCCCGAGGAAGGAAGCTCCCAACTGGAGGGGCCGGCCTAGGCTAGGCAGGGTTCGTCAGTGAACGCCACGCCCACTCCCTGGGCGCGAGCGTGGGCCCTCCTGCGGTGCGGTCTCCGGGAGGAGTCCCTCGCCCTGCCCTCGGGCGCGGCTGCTTCCTCGCCCGGTTCCATTTCCTCGGCGAAAATGGCGCTTCCCCGACTTTTGGCCGCTTTTGAGAGGGCCGGAGTCTACCCTTCGCTCTTTGGTCGGTCATCCTCTGAATAGTAGGTGCTACAGGTGGAACTGCCCGCGCCCGCTCGCATTCTGAGACATTAGCAGTTTCAAGAAACCAACACAGTTCAGTTCCCTCGCGGGGGTGTGTATCCCCTTTTCCGACTGCTAATACACACTTAGGTTTTCGTAGTTTAAAAATACATTATGCTCTTCAACGACATCATCTACGAAACCTGGAATGGTCATGACCTACCTTATCGGGATGTTTTCAGGATAGTGAAAATCAGAAAATGTTGTCAGTCCGGAGTTGGTATTTTGTACTGACTTTTAAACTAAGCCAGGATAAAATGACTCAAAGTAATAACCCTTTTACTGCAACCTTATAGGGCAGGTCCTGGGTCACAGATAGCTTCTGCTGCTACCTCCTCTGCCCATCCTATTAAGTGGGGTTGTGGGGCTGAGCAGAGTGGGATTTGATGGACTCATGGGAAGATTCAGAATTGGGTCGTTTCTGTAAAAAAAAAAAAAAGGCAATTCTTGAACAGAGAAAAATGTAGGAGCTTGAAAACACGGGGTAATTTCTGTTCCCTTTCTTTTACTTAAGATACAACCCACTTGTACTGGGCTGGGGTCATCACACATCTTCTTTCTCCACTTCATGATTTTAGCCAGCCAAGTATATAGATTAATGTCCCTCTGTTCACTTCATCTTAGATACTTAGGTATCTTGGCATTATATTGCAAGTTTCATAACCACATGCCCAGCAAACTCACACAAACATACTGTGCTTGTACTCCCAACTTTGTGACACAAGTGTAGCATAGGCCGGAGTGCTTCAATTCCTCTGAGCAACTATTTGCTTAATAGATTCAGAGACTTCGCAAACCAGGTTTATGTGATTCTTGTGCAGCATAACTTCTTAATGTAGCCATATGAGGCAGTCTAGTTAGAATTCTCTAGGAAGTAATTCAACACCCCTTTCAAATAAATATTAGTTTCTACTCTTCATAAATAGGTCACAGTGAGGTCCTTTTAAAGTGAGTTAATCTTGAATTAAATTATTATTATTATTATTATTATTATTATGGGCCAGACCTTCCTTACTTAAGTGGGAGATCATGGTGGGAGATCATGGTATGTGGATATTCCTTCTTGAAGAGTCATTCTCAGAAGGCATTGCTGGGAGCCTCAGTTTCACCTGACGACTTTTGGCCTGAAAGGTGACTGAGGATTTCTTTGCTGTCTCTGAGAAACCATGTATGACTTAAGCTGGAGTTTTGGACTATTAGCTCACCAGTCTCTGGATGACACACTACCTCTTCCAAGCCTAAGACAGCAGGGGAAGTGATTAATTATGGTCTGAGGCAATCTAGGAATGGATGGGAGACATCCTGACATCCAAGTTGGAGATGTCAAATAATTTGACTATCTAAAAAGTAATTCAATCACTGTTTGATTGGAAAAGGTACCACTTTTCAAAAAGAGTAAGGGCTGGCACATCATATGGGTATGCTCTGAATTCATTTTTTTCTTTCCATGCTTAAGTGATAATAGTTGGAAAGGGCAACTTTTACTAACATTTAACCAATTACCAACTCTGAGTCATTCAGAAAAAATGTGGCCTTTGATCAGCCTTGTTTCTATGCTGACATGCTTTTGTTTCCTTAGCATTCTTCTAATACTTGTTCCTTTCATCTTTATTAAAAACATTTATTTTGATAGCAACAAGTTTAATTTAGGCAGCTTCTAATAATGGTCTTGTCCAGCTCTGGGTTTTCACTTTTCTTTCCTCATGAACCAACATGACAATGTTTACTTTTTATCCATGGTGGGTTACAATATTTATTAACCAATTAGATTGTTACATGATTTCTTATTTCCAAGAATTCTTTAGAAGATCTGATGACAAAAACCCAGAAGTTGGGTAGCTCCTTTCCCCACTAACCAATTTTATTAAAAGGCATAAACTTTCATGATGTGAACCTCACTTCATCAGCATATTCTAAAATGTTGGAATGTTTCTATAAAACATCTTAGTTAATTGGACAAGTTTTGCTTCAAAATATAATAGAGCTGCTGTACCTCCTTTATTACATCAATTTGAAAACAGTGCTTTCAAACATTATATAGAGCAATCTAGAAGAGCCAGATAGAAACTGAGATCATTACTGTAAATCAGCTGGCAGATTATTGGTTTTTAGACTTGTCTATATTAAAAGATAAATATTATTTATCATTCCCCTCCTCCTTTATGTGGCAGAATTTATACCTACCACATATTAGAGGAAATTGTTAAATCCTAAAGACTAAAAATACCCTAGTCAGTTTTTATAAATATCTGTTACCAATAAAACAATAAAATCTGATATGCAGATACTACTAAAAGATTACTGTCTGTAACCTTTAACTGGGTAACATAGTGCATCATAGGGCAAAATGTTTTGAAGCAAGGTATCTCAAATGGACTAACTGACAAAATGTTTCCAAAATTGGGAACCCATGACTCTCATAGAATTGAAATTTGGCAAATTTTATAAAACATTTTATGATACAAAAATTATCATGAAGTATGTTATGACATAATACAAATGGTCATAAAACATTTCCCATGATCAGCTGCTGATGTTTGACGGTTATGCAATTTAACACAGGCTATTTTCAAGGCAGACAAATATCTCCCTGAATTTTTAAGAATTTTTCAAGTATGTTAGAAAATCTCCCAGTGAAGGCAGTGAGGAATCCGGTAAGGAAAGATGTCTGAAACGAGGACCCAAGTCATGGGTTGTATACGGTAGTTTCATCAAAACAGTGAAAAAATGTTTAAATACTATCACCAAACAATCTCACTAGATCTTATATAACAAAAACCATAACTTCAGAATTATAGGATCCCATTTAGTTTATATAAAAAAGGAATGAACACAATCATTGTGTTGTTGAAGATACAATCAGAAAGGTTCTTCGTTTAAAAAAAACCATATTTTTGCAATGTCCTAAAGTTTTGATGTTTGGTAAGAAATGATTACATATATTAATTTAACTCTGAAATAAAGTTTAATATTTGGGGGTTCATACTATTCCTTACTTCTTTCAGGGGTGCTTTAAAATCTGACTAAAGAAATCCATTAATTCTTAACCCCTATTTGCCAGATCCAGAAATACTTCTTCCAACTAGATTTTCAGGCAATAAGATTGAGATGACTGCTAAGATCGGAACTTGTCACCGACTTGGCTAAAGGCCATCTTAAAATGACTTGCAGCAAGGAACAAAGAAATAGCTATAAAAACATTTGTATTTCCAAATCTGGGGAAAGTTCTTGGCAAGCTCCACCCAATACCTACCCTGAAAGAATGTTCCGTCACACTTACAGGTATTGACACATAGATAAAAAGAAGGTGTGGGAAAGTCCTTTTTATGTTGATTGTTAAGTATTTCTCAGGAAATAAAGTATCTTTGAAGTGCTTTTGAGAACACATTAATAAAACAGTACTCTTCCTGTGTGTCATATTTGTTGATATAACATAAATTATTTAGTCTTACTGTTAATATTGCTAGCATTGTATTTATATTTATTTATAAAACGTAAAACAATATAGAAATGATATAAAAGCATAAAAACAACAAAAGTTATACATAATTTACTGTATATACTCGAGTATAAGCCTAGTTTTTCAGCCCATTTTTTGTGCTGAAAAAATCCCCCTCGGCTTATACTCGAGTCAGATTCCCCTCTGAAAAAAAAAATGGTGTGGAGTCGCGGCCTCCGGCGGCAGCGACTCCCAACAGCCCCAGCCGGGAAGGGAAAGGCAAAAAGCGCTTTGCCTTTCCCTTCCCGAGGCGGCGGGACTGGGGCCGTGCCGGCGGTAGTGACTCCTGACTCAGGGGGCCTCCGAGGGAGGGGAAGAGAGTGACTCCTGCCTCCCGCTGTCATCATCATCTTCTTCTTTTGGGTTAGTGAATCAATTAAACCTTTCATGATAGTGAGATCGTTTCCCAAATTAATTATTTTTATTTTTGAAATTTACCAGTAGCTGCTGCATTTCCCACCCTCGGCTTATACTCGAGTCAATAGGTTTTCCCAGTTTTTTGTGTAAAATTAGGTGCCTCGGCTTATATTCGGGTCGACTTATACTCGAGTATATACGGTACATAGAAAAGAGAACAGTATAAAATTCCCATTCATTCCAGCAACCTAAGGTCCTCAACACCCAAAATATTGAAAAGATAAAAGTTTTACAAACGAGAGGTTGAAAGATTGTGTATAGCTGTTCCAGTCAGGGTATTTGTCAAAACTGATAAAAGGCATTCTAGACTACTGCAATGCGCTCTAAATGAACTACCCTTGAAGAGCATTTGGAAGCTACAACTGGTGCAGAGTGTGACAGTGCAGGCAGTTTTTGGGGCCCTGAGAGTGATCCATGTTATACCACTATTCTGTGAGCTGCACTGGCTGCCAGTTTGCTTCCAGGTACAATTCAAGGTGTTATCATCTTTAAAGCCCTACCTGGCACAGATCCAGGTTACCTGAAAAACCATTCCATCCTAATCAGACTGACCTACTCCAACCATGCCGGCAGAGGAAGCATGCTGCAGACCCTGTTGGTCAGGGTATTCTGGATGGACAAATCCAAGAGAACAGCCTTCTCTACCGAAGCTCCTGCCCTTTGGAACATCTCGCCTCCTAAGGGGAGATTGGCTTCTACCCTTCTGCATAAGAGTCTGAGTTGGCTTGGCAAATTTAATAAATAATAAACCATAGAGGCTACTTGGTCATTTTAACCTTTTGGAGAAGGTGCTGTTCCTCCCAGGGTGATCTCCCACTTGACTAGACAGATGAACCTTAGATAATATATTTGATTGTCTTGTCTGGACACTGGAT